ACACTGGTTCGTCGGCCTCTGTGTGATGAGTTTGCAAGTGACCGAATAGATCGGTGCGTGGTTTGCATGCACCGTAACAGTGAGGGCAAAATAGGTTGGGCCAGTAGAATCAGTTGGGGTGGTGGAGGTACGACCTAGCTAGCAAAGTACATAAAGGGCCTTAAATTGCTGTACAGCGTCAACAAGAACAGCATGGCGTACGTCCAACGTCCTGAACTCAAATGCTTTGTTCGGCTGCATGCACATTATATTATGCTGTTTCCGAAGCCGTAGCCAAGGAGGCACATGCAAATTTAAAGGAAGAATTCGGGTATGAACCACGAAGACGCTGTTTAAATTAAATGTTTTAGCACTTTTATAATATGTTAGTGTTAAATCGGTTACCCTTTTTCGGATAGGGCAATGGTGACTTAACTCTTTATCATGCTGATTGGCAGCTGATGCTGGTGTGTACACGGAGACGATAGAGGTTTTTGTTCGTAAGCCAACGAGTCACTGATTGGCTCCCACACAGATATTGTATATTTAGACTGTTGAGGACGAGGCTGGTCCGTACCTACCAGAAGGGTCCGATGGTCATCTGTGGTGTAAGTTAAAATTGGAGTTTGCCTCAGAAATCTTTTTTTTCCGAACGCCAACTTCGGAGTCTTGAACTTCAGAGAGACAGCAGATGCCGCTGTTGTACATTTTAGGGCTGTGCACCATCAATCTTCGGAAAGCAAAGTTCAGGCACGTATGCACGTTCCAGCATCCTATACAAAGAACCCCGTTCCGGATGAAGTAGTCCAACTTTTATACTATTCGTCCGCACCACCGGTTTTAGGGTTGTGCTGCGCGCCCATACCATGAGTCCTAATACTTACGTCGGACAATGTCATGTGGTGTTTTGACAATTCCGGGTATAGGCGGGTACCCAACAGTCGCCGAGATTTTTTGTTTGTCTTTCTTTTCGTTCTGGCCGCACCGTCCAACTATGGTAAGCAAACTTATCGAATGGTAGCCCATGGCATCCATGTCACAGTGCCATTATCGACATATCAGATCTCAGCCGTCTACTACCTAGTAGCGTTGTCCCTGTTAGTCTGCAAATACATAGTCAATCTCGAGTACCTGCTTATTTCGGGGCTAACCCTCACTTAAGATAGCTCAACTAGCCTCCATCTTTTGAAATTCTGGTTACCCATAATGCATGAATGGCTTCTTGATAAGCAATAGTCCCAGAGAAGACTACTTCAGAATTACGTGATCTTGCACGGTCTTCTAGGGCACACTTATGTTTTTGATTCCTTTTTTAGAAGCTTGTATTATTTACATTCCCTCACTGTGTAGAATATAAGAGAACCTACCCGTGACTTCGCGATTTATCTTTTCTGGCGAGCTATTGTCAAGGATGTCTGAGGCTATTACAGACATCAATCTGGCAATCTGCCCGTACTCCTTTTTTGCTGGTCATGGCAAAATATAGCTCTAATGGCCGAATGGGATCAGGCCATACCGTTTTCTTTTTCATCACTTTGACAGAGCTTTCTATATATAATTGCTTAATCAGTGACATTTCCCGTTTGCTTGGACTAAAAAGTTTATAAGGAGGATTAGACGTTTGCTTACGAAAATCTTCTGCACTTTTGAGGTAAAATTAACTGTAAGGTGCACAGTAGTGTAAGTAGTATTTATTCTTCAGTGTTTTGCAACGAACTGTAATGCTCAAAAGCCAATAATTATCCACGTCTTGAGTGGGTTATTCCTGTAGCCCTTGATATATCGAACTTTCTTCGTAAACCTTAATCCTCTTTTATAATATTACTCATTACTTTTTACTTCTGTTTACCTACAGTCACAATGGATCTAACAGTTGTTGGGTCTATTAACACCGATCTCATTTGGTTTGTTTTATTCCTTTGAACCTTACCCATTTCTAGTTATTCTAGCAGATTTCCGCTACCCGGAGAAACAATCGAAGGAACCAAATTCTCTGTAGGATTTGGTGGAAAAGGTGCAAATCAATGTGTTGCTGCAAGAAAGCTTGGAGCAGCAGTATCACTTGTCTCTCGGGTAATACTTTCGACATCACTCTGATTATCATAGGTTGGTGACGATGCTTTTGGTCGAAATTATCTGGAGTATCTGAAACGAATTGGAGTCGAGACAGGTATTTGGTTATTTTAACGTATTTTGTTGCCTCTATATCTTGATGGGGATAATACTCTTTTCGTTAGTGCACCTTTTTTAATCCATTATCCAATAGCCGGCACTCAATGGGCAACTTCTAAACCTCTTAGTTACTATTCGTTTCGGAACAGTAACTACCCTCATTGAGATGTCCGCTCGACCTATTATTCCTATGAATGTTTTGTCTTAGGCAAATATAGTTATATTGGGGCTACTAGCACACAAGTCACCATGAACCTAACTTCGGTGTAACAGTCATGCAGCATAGATAACTAACTTAATTGCGAATCATAGCTAGTTGCAATAACTCCCTAGCCCCGCATCGAAAATTGTTCCTCTACAACCATCCCTCTTGTGCTCTCAATCAGTAGCTATTCCCAGTGAAGTCCTTTTGTTATTATTTCTCGTTAGTTACACTTCGCCCATATACTAGGAATCATTGGTTTGTGGTCAGGCAACTCCTTAAAAAACATTTTCTGCGTTTGCAGCTGTATAAAAAGTAGCCTTTCGGTTTTGCGTGGCCTCATTCGAAAAATGAAACCTACTTCTGCTTGACAATGACCGAGCTCTTACTAAGTTATACAGAAAGGGACATGCTTCCCAGAATAACGCATTTAATTCCGTTATTTGGCCTAATTACAGTTAAATGGCCAGACGATGGTTATGGATGAATTCCAAAGTATCTTTTTTTCTTTGAGAATGGTGATACCCCTTATTGCTTTCATTTAGCGTTAAGCAAAATTATGAACAGTTTTTTTTCGATTGTAAGAAAGGACTTTGGTGAGGATATATTATTATTTAACATGCCGCATACTCCCAAAATGTCGCAATTGGCTCAAGATGCCTGTCTTTTAATACGCCCTCTTTCCACCGTCCGCAAAACGCGTACTTGATAAACACGTCATTGATTATCGATGCCTTTATAAAGTCAACCATATTTATATAACTTATATACAAACCTATCCTTCCTTGTACTTGTTTAGGAGTATTGTGCTCTCTTCACGTGTTGTTTTCCAAGATAATTTAAATTTTTATTCAAAAAATATTTCAGTTCCCTACTAATTTTCAGCTCAACCTGCTGTCGCTTTTACGCGTAGGGTTTCAAAGCCATAAGCTTTGCACTTTCTGCACGAAAAATTGTATTTTCCTTTGGCTCTTAAGGAGGTCTAAAATACGTTCATTAGATTTTGCAGTGGATATGAATTACGTTGTATGATTTGTGATTTCACGATATTTCGGTCTTTTCAGTCTGAAGCGCAAAAGTTAAACAAAGCATACTTTGCTACGAGATTTATAAAGAAAATCCTTTTCGCATTTTTTCTGTAAAATTTTGCTGAAGTGATGTCACGCGAAAATCAGTGGAAAAATGTAAACTACTTAAATAGCACTCTTTATCAAGTGCAGTTTTTCAAGCAGCCAGAAGGGTAAGTATCTTGATCTGATGGAAATTTCTTGGGATTCTATTTCATGCTAATAAATACCGATACCCCATCTAAGT